GAAAGGGTTCAAGGAGATCCGGAAGGCGGGAGAGTCGATCTTGTATATCGCTCTTCTCCTCCTCAGATGATAGGGCAGCATATGCCGAATGCACAAGCAGTTGGTCAACATTTTTTAGGGGTGGGCTCAAGCGGGGCTCCAAAAGGCGGTACAAGACGGTAGATAAGAAAAGTCATCCGGTACCGGTTCTGGTAAGTCAGGAGGAAGGGGTGTATTACGAGCAAGGAAGGGAGTTAGTACGACAAATTAGAGAGAGTACTAAAAATTAACCTTGTCGTATCAATGAGGAAACTGAGAAGGATTTGATAATAGGCGAACCCAGTTTCCTGACGAAACAAGAAGAGGCTTTGGTGAAGGAGCTTATACGTGAGAAGCATGGGGCATATGCTTTCAATGATGATCAGCGAGGACGGCTGAATGTTGACAAAATCGAAACGATCCGCATTCATGCTATGCCTCATGAACCATGAAATGTTTGAGGGGCTAAGTACCCCAATCTCGAAGATCGTAGAAAAGTAGTGGAGTACCTAGATGGGAAGATTCGTACGAATGGCGCAGGATATTCTAGCGGACCATATGCTTCTCCTTGGTTTTGCTTTGTAAAACTGAACGGGGTGCTCAAATGGGTACAAGACCTCCAAATTTTGAATGAGGTGACCGTGGGAGATGCTAGGGGTTGCCTAACGCCGATCAGTTGTCAGAGTCGCTCGCAGACCGTCCTATAACAACAATGCATACGCCTAGAGGGTCGGTCCATATGAATATTGCAGTCCAGGGATGGACCAACACGGTGGCAATGGTGCAGCGCAATATGATTAGGGTAATGGAGCCGATTAGCCCTCAAATTACCGAGCCGTACATTGACGATCTTGCCGTCAAGGGCCCTATTGAAAAGGATGAATCAGAAGTGGCTCCTGGAATAAGAAGGTTCGTATGGGAGCACATCCAAGGGTTAAGAGAGGTTTTATCTCTCTTAGAAGAATACAATCGCATTGTCAGTGGCGTGAAGTCAAGACATTGTGTGAAGGAAGTAACCATTCTGGATATGTATGCAATGAATACGGTCGACGATCCAATAGTAAGAAGACTAATAAAATCCTTGAATGACCTACTCCCTTCAGAAATATTGGGGAAGTTCGTAGCTTCCTTCGAACCTGTGGATTTTGGAGGAGGTTCATAAAAAGATTTGCCACCAAGACAGAGCATCTGAGGAAGCTAGTACGAAAGGATCAAAACTGGGAGTGTGATGACTTTCAAAAAGAAGTGGTCGAGGAGTTGAAGAAGGAATCCAGAGAAGGGGGTTTAGTGTTGGGGGTGTCTGATTTGGATGCAACTATGGAAAGACCTTTCATAGTTGAGACCGATGCTGGGCCAACCGCCTTAGGAAGCGTTTTGATCCAGGCAGACAGTAGCGGAAAAGAAAGACCGCTAAGATTCGAAAGCCGAACACTCAACTCGACGGAGCTGAATTACTCACAGTTCAAAAAGGAAGCCTTGACAGTCTTGCACTGCCTAAGAATTTTCAGGCATTACCTTTTTGGAAGGAGGTTTATCCTCAAAATTGACCCAACGACGCTCATGTATTCCCTCAAAAAATATTCGCCATCAGACCCGACCATAGCCAGGTGGCTTACCTATATATGGATGTTTGATTTTCAGATGGAACGTATCCCAGGAAACAAGAATAGGGCTAATGGTATGAGTAGAATTGAATGGGGAGATCAAGCTGGATCAGAAGAGGAGGCACCTCCGGTAGATGGATTTTTGGAAGAAGGGGATGATATGCGCACTCATGTCAACTGTTGGGCTATGTTCGTTGAAAGTTAGGCAATGAGGAGAGGAAATCCAATGTGGCATCCGCCTCCAGAGTTTTTGAGGGAACCTGCCTTTATACTTACGCTGATAGTGGAGGAAGACACATGGGGAGAAAAAAATGCGGAATGGATGATGGAGTTGGCCTTGGCCGAAAATTACAGGATGATGGATGAACCACAAACGGTCGAGCCAGGAGCCCGATAAGCATACGAACAAATAGCCATGATGAGTATAATGTACTACTTGACGAATTCCCTCTTACAGGTCCAACCGAATGATGAAGGGGGTGTGGTAAAAGCTGATGAAATAGTAATTGAGGATGATTACGAATTTGATGAGGAGAAAGAGGAGGAATTTGAGCAAAAAGAGATTTTAGAAGAATTCCGAAAAGAGGAGTATGATGAATTTTACCTAGAGATGGGGTTGCTCATTTCAGGAGACAAGAGAGAGAGAGAAGTCAATGAGAAAACTCTTCGAATGCGGGATCATTATGCAGTAAAAGGTGGTAATTTATTCATAAGAGATAAGAGGGGGTCACCACGTCGAGTGGTATGCAGAAAGAATCGTAAGATTGTTGTCATAGTTGCGCTTCATGATGGGATAGTTGGGGGACATTGAAGTTTTGCGGCAACCTACAACAAGGCGATGGAACTCTACTATTGAGAACGAATGTTTGAAATGACTCGTAAATACTGTGAATTGTGTGTACCCTGTCAAATACGATCACCCGTCAAATATAGGGAGCCTCTTCATCCCAGGTACATCAAAGATGTGGGGGCAGTTATTCATTTGGACCTACTAGTCATGCCGCAAGGACTCGGCGGATATAATTATATATTTGACGGGAGAGATAACCTTAATGGGTTTGTCGATGGCAAGGCCATTAGAAACAAAACTAGGGTGACACTTGCAGAGTGCATTAAGGAATATTACCTAAGGTATCTGTTCATATTGGATTTCACGATGGACATGGGGTCTGAGTTTACATGTGGGGAAGTGAAAGAACTGTTGAAAGAACTGGGAGTGATAGGTAACTACACGACTCGGGCTCACCCACAGGCTATGAAACACCCGCGGATGCGAGCTCGGAAGGCGAACGTATTCACGGCCGCCTCCACGGCCTACCGGATCCGCGCGGCGGACCCGATTTTACCAGATTTTTCCTGAATTAAATAATAGCCCACAAAAAAAACAAAAAATATGAAGTTGTAGGGAATTTTAAGCCCTACAACCCCATATTTTGTTTTTTGAAATCCGACTTTGTTTAGGATTTTTTAAAAATTAAAAACTAAATTCGATTAAAAAAAAAAAAAAAAGTTCTAATTTTTTTTGGTAATTTTTTATCATCAGATATATGGTCCCCGAGTTCACCTGTATTTTTTAGAAATGAATTTCTGTCTTTTGCAGGGGTATGATGTATTTTAGAAAAATAAAGATGCAAAATTTGAAAAAAAAAAAAAAAAACCCTTGAAAAAAAGGGTTTGATTGATTGATTGATTGATTGATTGATTGATTGTGTGTGTGTGTGTGTGTGTGTGTGTGTGTGTGTGTG